AGACTGACCGGAAGACCGCTTCATAAAATTATAGTTGAACTACTGATGCCACATGGACTATTTTAACGATGTCCTTACTACGTTTCTGGGCCTTAAATGTTGTAGTTCCCTTGCTGTCTATGGAGGGTCAGAAAGCTCTTGGATTTCATCAAAAATATCTTAATTTGTGTTCTGAAAATGAACGAAGGTCTTATGGGTTTGGAACAACATGAGGGCGAGTAATTAATGACAGAATTTTAATTTTTGGGTGAACTAACCCTTTAAGTCAGTAGCGTCCCTACTTGAGTACTTCTCAGTAGTGGTATGAATGTGGGGTAATGTATGTGTCTGTGAATGAGTTTTCAACTTACCTTCCGTTTCACAGCCCAGGAGTTCCAATCTAAGTCCCATCCCAGCAGGAGTGGCTCTGTCTGGGTACACCCTAACAAAGCGTGTCAATATAGGCTCCACCGTCCTCAACGCTGGCGTGTCATAGTTCAAATTCCCCTCAAATATCTGCCAAGAACAACGACAGAGTCAGAGACAATAATTGGCAGTCAAGCAGAGAAAGAGAACTTGGAAAGACATAAATGGGAAAAGATAAAGGTGAAAGCTTTATTAGGAGTATCCCAAAGTTAGTCTGACAGGGAAAGCAAAGAACAGAGCTTTAATGAAAGAGAACGAGTGAGAGGGCACGCAGCTCACACCTTTCTTAACTTGGGCACTGTTGTATTTGTAATGCAACAAAGCACTCGAGAAAATAAAGTCTTCAACTTGATTTCTGACATTGTACGGCTGAGCTAGCGCAAAAAAGAAAGGCCGCGGGCCAAAACTGTAGTCTACGACAGCAGGATGCACATGCTTTCAAAAGCATCTGCCTTTAACTTCACACTTCTGAAGCCTTAAAACCCAGACACAAGGTACCACAGGAGACAGACAGAAAAAAGGAAGGAAAGACGAAAAGACACTCGCCAGTGGTAACAAAGGTACAGAACAAGACGAGAAGTCATGAAAGTACATTAATGGTTTTTAGAGCTAATGTGTCTCCTTTTGTCCTCCAAACTAAGGCAGAGATATAAGGGTTTTAAAAGGGGTCTTTTAGGATTGATATTCCAATCCAGCTTTTTGATAGGGGATAAGGCACATAGTCTATGTTCTACAAAAAAATCACTCATTTCATGTATTTCACGTACTGTAACATTTCTTTTGAAATTTGTCTGTTTTCACTATGATCGCAAATGAACACTATACTGTTATTTTATTTTGGTATTATGACTGTTTTTAGGATTAAGATTATTAGTAGTATTGTTGAATGCATTTGGGATGTTTGCCCAATATTGTGCTCACAGCATTAGTCTAATTATTATCATTCTCTTCTCTGTCCATCTAAAAGGCTTCGGGAAGAATACATTATAGCTCCACGTTCAACTTTCTTAACACATTTCTTAAAATCAGGCTAGGCAAATCTCAGACTAGCGCTTAAGAACCTCATAGTGATTTAAAACTATTCTAAATGTACAACCAGTTTATGTCTAACTACCTTCCAGCTTCCCTATATCTTACCTTGTGCTTGTTGCCAGTAGCATCCATCACCATTTTCCAGTCAGATCCATTGTTGCTGTAGCCCAGCCGAAACTTCTTCATGAATACCTTGTTATCACGGTGTTTGCCTCCCTGGATGATCAACCCTCGGAACAGTTTCTCCTCACCCAGATCTATCTGCAGCCACTCATCCACATACGGCTGGGGCTGCGGCAACAACGTCCATCCCGAACGGCTGGTCAGAAGACGGGCATTCTCTGAGACCCATGTGCGCTCAGTGTGGGACGAAACTGTGATCTGAGAGTCTGCGATAAGTCCTGAGACCATTCCCAGCATTCCAGAACATGGGTACTCTGTTGAAGGACAAAGACAGTATTAAATTCAAGGATGTTTCGAACCCTTCACTAGTGACTATCCTGAGATGTGACATGAAAAGCAGCAGACAGAGAAAAATGTATTTGCAGTCAAATGTATTGGCCATCAAAGGAGAAAGATAATTATGGACCCAAATTGTGTAGTTTTGGCATCCACCAGCAGGGGCTAACAGGGCCATGCTAACCAGTCAAACCCTTATCCCTCGGTTAGACTGTTATCTAACCTGCCACTGCTGTGGCAAAACAAATGTACCATTATTTGTCATTCCAATAAAACACACGGACGCCGAGAAAGAGAGGGTTGTTTGAGAACATAGTGGAAGAGTTGAATGATAATTGAGGGATGTGTCTACAAAAGATTAGATTAGCTGTGATTGGGTGAGTCTGAGAGGAAGAGAAAGAATGGAGAAGAAAAAAATGATGTTGGCTGATAAACCTGGTAGAAATGGTCACATCTCAGGGAGCTTGGAAACGTTCTTACCAACAACCTAAAGAGGTCACGGGCCATAAAGAGACTGAACAAAGAGAGAAAGAAAGACATTCATTGCACAGGAAAGACAGATGAAGTGGACAGAAGAGATAAGAAACCTCTTGTTCTCTTTGTTTCTCTCTCTCCATCTTCCTTTCACCACTGACCTTGTGCATTAACTCCGCTGCTTCTTTTTCTCAAGATACCTAATTAAAACCTTTCTCTAGTGTATGCACCTTTAATTTCTAAACAGTTTCTCGCTCTTATTCTCAATTCTGTTCCACTCTTACCTTCCTTTTGTTTTTAATATGCTTTCTTATTCACCTTCCTCAAATCGATCCCTTCATCCGTCTTGTAATATGTCTTCATCTCTCCAAACTGACTTCCTTTGTTCTAGCATTGATAATAGGATTTTTCACGCTTTGCAACTTGTAGGCAAAGGCAGGTTGAGGGAAATTATCAGACATGCAGCACTGACTGACTGTGTGTTGCCTGTCATGACTTTCGTACCTTCTCTGACGCAGTGGGACCTGCCAGCGATACCATAATCTACGATCAGCACCCGTGGAGCAGGAAAGCGTCAGAGACAATCTTGGACTAGTCACAGATGAACCTAATGTCCCGTGAAATACCACCAGAACAGAGTTTTCATTCACAACAGTGCCTTTGTACTGATGTAGGGAACTTCCTCTGTAGTTTTGAAATGGAAAGAGCACTTGTCTGTGACCCCTTCAGAAATTGCAGAGCATCCAAATGTGAGTTCCATTCTCCTAAAACAACAAATGCTCATGACTTTGATTTTTCCATTGTTTGTTTGTAGATGTACAGCCGGGATTGGGTTTATTGTAACCCTGCCAAATTTGGAAAATATCTCTGCGTGCAATTTTTGCTGTGTGTGTGCCAAATTGTTTTGGGATCTGAATGAAAAAAGATCTCCACTGAGGTGGTTGGACCTCAAAGTTTGGAAGTCAACCAAGTTTATTTTCAATCCACTGGCTGGCACTGTCATCAGGACCTGTTTATGGATCTCAGATGGGGATGCATGGTAGAAGCTCCTGGTGTGGTAGACCCTGACAGACACACCCTGAGGGTGAACTGGTCCATGTGTATCGCGTGTTTCCTCTGTTGGTTTGATCTGTGCACAGCACATAAAGGCTGGATGACCACACACACAGATGGTTTTATTTACAAACAGCGGGAGGAAGTTTATTAATGGATGTGTGGATGTGGAAAGCCTATCAGACCTGAACAGTGCACAAGACCACCTCCTAACTGCCGGCAGGCATCCTCTGTTGGTAGTGTCAAGGTACAGCGCTTACAAACATAGTGCCCAGGAATAGAGTTTGTGGCAGTACCTTGATAAAAGTGATATGCAACTTGGTGAAGTGGTATCAGATGGTAATATCATGGTACTTTTAATACTTTCCATGGTAATGAATGGTTATCATACTGGTACAAGTACATGGTCTGGGTAATGGTACTGGTACATGGTCTGATAATAGTACTTGTACCTTCCTACTAAAATGATGGTGTTTCTATGGTACTCATCGTGTACTTTCAATGTTTTTGGACATGTACCATGATATTCTGGGTAGTACCATGGTAAATGTGCAAAAGAGTATCAAAGTATATCTTCAAAATATGTTTAACCTTGTCCAAAAAACATACAGTAGTAATACCATGGTACTCGTTTGTAAGATTCTTGGCTGCATCATCACAAGGGTTCCCGATGCACACTGATGATGTCACTGGGAGGCCTCCACTCTTGTGATGCGCTTAGAATGCGGTCTGTTCACCCATCCAAAACACGACTGCAACAGCTGCGCTCCAGAACTGCGGTGAACCGCACACATACACACACACAAATATACAACCAGTGCTAAATCTGTGTACACACACAGACTCTAAAAATAAGCCCCTATGCATGCTGAATGTAAAGCTGATAGATGACGCATGATGGCAAACACGCTCACCCTCCTCCTACACATATGAGGAAATGTTCTCAGCGGGGAGTCGCTGATGATATGAAAGCTTTTGCAATCAAAGCTCTGTAGGGTGGAGCCATGTCAAAACATGCAGATGAGTATGCAAATGAAGACAGGGCCAGCTGGGCCTGACTGTGGCTGGTGGGTGTAGATCTCGCCGTGTGCAATAGCATGTGCAATATGTACATCTGTGTGTATTTGAGAGAGAGGCTGAGAGGTTAGAGCTTGGGGGAGGAGGGTAGAGGCAGAATTGGGGTAGAAGTGGAGAGGTTGCAGCAGCATCCGTGCATGCGGAGCACGCCATTCATTTTGAATAAAGAACATCCAAAAGTGGGGAAACATGAATACACGGTCCTTTTCGTTGACGTGAACACTTGTCTATAACGCAATAGCTCCTCTAATATTGCACATGCACAGTTCGCACATGGCTTTCAGAGGCATGAATAAACACTTCTCCATACGCCTGCCTCCAAAGCAAGCAAAATGTAAACCATTTAATTGAAAGATCATGATGGAGTGGTGTGTTGACAAAACCCAGCTTCTGAATCTGAATTAACACTCTGCTTTTATATATTTTTGAGGCATGCCAGTTTTGCCATTGACAGTTCGTTTTGAAACCTGTAAAATAAAAAACAGATTCTTGGAACCAACCTGAGATTTTGCATCCATACACCTCGAAGCGCAGAGCGATACCGGTTTCCCAGTTGTATGGTCGGATCCGGAGGTATCGCGTCAACGTGGGCTTGGGGAACATGGCTTTCGCTGCATCAGTAGGGTTGGTGTTCCCTTGGAAAATCTGACAAATGAAGAACAAACACATTAATTATTAACATGGTTTGTTTAGGCGAGTCACCAAGGACAGACCTTTGAGGCCTGGGACTCACATAATACTTTTATAGTTGTTTGATCATTGTTGTCTTTTATTCAGTGTCCTTATAGACATTACTTCAAAGAAACAATCAGGCATTACTACAGGATGCTCAAACCCACAGTCTGATTTCTGGAAAATTGATTATTGTTTATTCCATGTTCCTTGTTACATACATGCATATTCTGTATTTATTTTAATTGATTAAAAAAACAACAACAAAAGAAGCTGATTTTCAAGTATTCATGTACTTAAATTCTTAAGCACTTCATGGAACCCACTTGTGCAAACCCTATTAATCATTTTGCTGTTGCCACTAAGCAACAGGTCAATCTAGACCACTTGCTACAGTACTGAGTTTACCCTGGTTAAGGGGGTTAACCCTCTATGAATGGTAAAATCCCGGCAATGCACAGCCTCTCTCTTAGCATATTGCTTTAATATCAATACGTTCAACACAATTGTAAACTAGACAAGGTCAAACTGTAAGCCGTACAGGAGGGCCAAGTGTTGCTAAGGCCCAGTCAGGGCATACAGCCATCCGTCTATCCCAGAATCCATACTGCTAATCGTGTCCCTGGTCACTACTTGTCAAAACGTGTGTGTCTGGGAGGGAGACACATGAGGAGCCATCCACTATCTTTAAATGTCACGCCAATGCTCTGCTCTACTGCTCTAAGTAGTAAAAAAGCTTTCCTTTGTGCAACAACCCCGCAGCCGAACTGCTGTTTCAGCAGTCTGTAAATGGGCCCTCACCTCACAAAAGCACTTTAGAGCCAGGCAGACAGAAACAAGGCACCGCACCTTAAAAATGCAAGCTCTAAAAAGAGAACAGTGTACTTTAGTTGAGGGTCGACACAGAAATTGGGCCTTTGGGTACATTTAAGCTCACTGTTACTTCCAGGCATGAAGATGTACACACACACAAACACACACACGCACGTCTAATTGGCTTGCTGAGCTTGACAGGTCTATTTCAAAACTTGTATTGTTAGAGCAAGACGTAAACATGCATATGAATGCGTCTTGCACTCACAAATGAGCAAAATCCCTCACCTCACAAAAGCACTTTAGAGCCAGGCAGACAGAAACAAGGCACCGCACCTTAAAAATGCAAGCTCTAAAAAGAGAACAGTGTACTTTAGTTGAGGGTCGACACAGAAATTGGGCCTTTGGGTATATTTAAGCTCACTGTTACTTCCAGGCATGAAGATGTGTACGCACATAGACACACACACACACACACACACACACACACACACACACACACACACACACACACACACACACACACACACACACACACACACACACAAGTGTCTAATTGGCTTGCTGAGCTTGACAGGTCTATTTCAAAACTTATATTGTTAGAGTCTGCCAAGCAGACGTAAACATGCATATGAGCGCATCTTGCACTCACAAATGAGTAAAACAAAATCATAAACTTCAAACACTGGAAGTATCTCAAAATCTATGAAGCTGCCTACAGAGACAGAATCTTTGGTTCAGGTAAATCTCACGATGCCCAGTGAAAATTAGGTGAAAATTAGAATGAAATTGCATTTTGCAAGAAAAGTTGTTTTATAATAATTTCAGATTTGCATTGTGACTATTTTAATGAAAAGTAATAAAGTAATTATATTAAAATGTATCATGTTTTTTCACATTCCAGCTGATTTGTTTCTTGAAATTATGAAATTCCTGTAATAATTTCAATTTGCGGAGAAAAGGTTGGGGGAAAAAATGTTAAATGTTGTTTTTATTTTTCTATAATGGCATAAAATATGATCTGGACTTGTTCTTGACAGGTTTTATGAGGTTCCTTCAGATGCTTTTCATTGTTCTTTTAGAACCTGTCTTGGCTATATGATCCCCAAAATGCTGTCTGGGTAGGTAGCCCACCAGGTTTTAAGACAGTGTCAAATGTAATAGGCATGTCTTCCTGCAGTTAACTTTTCTGTGCTGAGGGACACATTTCACCCGATGGCTAATCGATCAGCGTCTCCTTGGTCCTCATTCAATCCTTCATGTGCTCAAGTGCGTCCAACCAGCTGTTCAAACACTCTAAACCTGATAAACCTTCTCCTTCTCTCACTCTCTCCATTTGCGACTCTGTTTATGAACTCTTTTGTTCTTCCTTTCAAGGAAAAAAGCCCTACCACAAATGTTGACATCATTCCTTAAAAGGAAAAAGAAAATCAATCAGACTACTGTGGTGGCTTTGGAGTTGGAGTTTTTACAAAGCTTGCAAATTCAGTCTTTTAAGAGGGCGGATTAACATACCACACTGGGCACATGATGGAGTCAGAGAAACACAAGCCCTGCAGAACACATGAGCGTGGCATTCCCGTCTAGATCTGGAGCATGGATTGGTGTAACGGAGGCACACGGTGACAGCGCTACAATACAGGAAGATGTTTACAGGGCTTCCTGCCAAGGAGTTCTGGAAATGTACCTAGTTACAGATTACTTCCATGTTAGGCTGAGAAAATAAAAGCTTCTTTATCGTTTAGCGGAAAGTGAGCTGTACGGAACCAAACTTGATATTCTACCAGGATTTTCTAACACTATTTCATTGTTATATGAAAAAGCAACATTTAACTGTTAACGGAATGTTCCAAGTTTAAAACAAGTTAAAGGGTTAGTTCACCCAAAAATGAAAATTAGCCCATAAATTACTCACCCTCAAGTGATCCTAGGTGTATATGACTTTCTTCTTTCAGACGAATCCAGTCGGAGTTATATTAAAAATGGTCTTTGATCTTTCAAGCTGTTTAATGCCACTCAGCCGGGGGTGCATGCATCAGTCCAAAAGAAGTTAAATAAAAAGCGCCCATCCATAAAAAAGTGTCTCACACGGCTCCGGGGGGTGAACAAAGGCCTCCTGTAGCGAATCGATACGTTTTTGTAAGAAATGATCCATATTCAAAACGTAATAATTACTTTAATGTAGCTTGCGCCAACAGCTGTACACAGAAGCAGCTCCGGGCGGATGACGTATGAGGTCGGCTCATTTTCATTTTTGGGTGAACCCTTTAAGCTTTATCAACCACAGAAAATCCTTTTGACTTGTTGTTTAGTTTAAAAACAAAAAAACTAAACAAATAAAAACTGTGTTTACACTGGATGTCTATAGTTCAAGGCATTTTGGAGAGCTTAAAAACATAAATGTGCACGTTGAATTTTTTGTTAAAGTTCTTATAGCAATTCTTCCATACGACTTTTTGTTTCTGAGACCCGACATGCTAACATTGGTTTAATCAGTGGTTCTCAACGAGTTTCAAGATGACTTAAAATGATCTTAATTGGCCCCCTCAACAGGTTTATTTATTGTTTGATCGATTGATTGATTGATTGATTCAATCATGGTTCCCACTGTCTTGGAAAACCTGGATATATGAAACCTGTAATTTGTAGACCTGGTAAAATCATGTAAATCAATTAATTCTTGACATTTTAAACACATTTAGTTATGCCAAGCTCTAAAATATTTTAAAATATACAGTAAAAACCTCTTTAAACATCCAATCCAGTAAATCATGAACAGAAGTCATGGGGCTTTGAATATTGTTGTGGGTAATGGTGGATCTTGAAGTCAAAAAGGTTGAAAAGCACTGGGTTAAATCAGAAAAGTGATGCATTGCACCTTTAAGAAGGACCATGAAAGGAAGCAAATAAGTCACCTTCTGTTTTGGGCCATCTTTAATAGTTATCCAGTCTTCTCCGTTTGAGCTTACATCCACCTTGTAGGACTTCACATAGTATTTCTTGTTGGTCTCTTGAGAGATGGCTCCCTGTGTGCTGATCGCCGAGACAAAGCGCAGGAATCCAAGATCAACCTGAGGAGAGAGAGAACAATATTACTCCTATATTACTCCGAACAGAGGGAGTATCACTTTAAAAGTGGCTTATCGGGTGTCACATATTGAGCTCATAAGACCCCAGGTGAATATTAGAATGAAAGATTAATTTTAATGAATCCCAATTTAATAAAGCATATTCGATGTGACGATTTAATTTCCTGAACGGGAGACAAGAGCTTATTGGATGAGGAAGGATATTTAACTTCATAGAGCCTGTGTCGGGGGGAAAAAATCATTTGAAAGGAAACGTGTATTTCAGACGTGTGCCGTACTGAAAAATGAATGCTTCATAAAGAAGTCATGAGTTGTGATGTCATTCCCGTGAGCGTGCGGTGAGTGCGTCTGAGAGGCAGTCAGGAGAGTGTGGTCAGGGGTTACTGGAAGAGAAAACACTGTGGACAGAGATGTGGGTGATTTGGTCATATCCAGGATGATCAGAGCTGCAATACACAGGATCGGATGTGGTATCGCATTTAATATCTCATTTTTGTTATGCAAAAGAAAAAAAACTGAGATCTTTGTGCAGGATTCAGCCATTTGCTTCCACAGCATATACTGAGCAAATGGACAGTGAAAATTGCCAAGCAGAGGTTTTTGGGGAGATGCTTTAGTGCTCGGAGAGGCTAAAAAACCTGCCATAATCTGAAACTAATGTCATCCCATACAACATTTTCAAAAAATGTCACTGGTGAACCAACATTTACAGTAGTGCTAAGACCATGTCAGCGGCACATAGCCGTCAGAGCTAAAACTAGCTACAAATGCAGGATAACATCCATGTAGTGGATCTGTTGTAGATACACTAATCACCAATACCAGCTTTTCATTAAATATCATATTCATTTTGTACTCAACATGAACTAACACAATGGTTTTGCTAGTCTCAAACTCAATTAGTGAAGAAAGTGCTAATTGCAAACGCTGTCTATTCCCTATTGTGCAGCATTTGTACGTCCTGACTCAGTTTAACCATATTAAAAATATAAGGTCTTTGTTTCTGAAGTCTGCTGAATGAGTGCTGATCTGATCTGGCTGTGCTAAAATATACACGGCAGGAAGATAAGAGAGCTGTGGAACAGCCAGCGATTTGAGATCAGAAAGCTTGGCTGGAGAAGAGACACTCTGGATCAGTTTCCCTCACACCAGCTGATCACAGATCAGAACTAATGAGCGCCTCGAGATTTACTTTTGTACTCAACATGAACTAACACAATGGTTTTGCTAGTCTCAAACTCAATTAGTGAAGAAAGTGCTAATTGCAAACGCTGTCTGTTCCCTATTGTGCAGCATTTGTACGTCCTGACTCAGTTTAACCATATTAAAAATATAAGGTCTTTGTTTCTGAAGTCTGCTGAATGAGTGCTGATCTGATCTGGCTGTGCTAAAATATACACGGCAGGAAGATAAGAGAGCTGTGGAACAGCCAGCGATTTGAGATCAGAAAGCTTGGCTGGAGAAGAGACACTCTGGATCAGTTTCCCTCACACCAGCTGATCACAGATCAGAACTAATGAGCGCCTCGAGATTTATTAACCACTTTCTGCTTCAGAAAGACAAAGAGAGGGAAAAAAGGGGAAAAGAAACTAGAGCAATAAGAAACTGAAGAAAAAAGTGAGCAATTCCAATACATTTTACTTTACATTTTATTGTGCTAATATATTACAACATATTTATGGAAGCCCATTTCGGCCACGTAAGAAAAAAAATTCATGCCTTAAAAAGTCCAAATTATGACATACTTAAGTCATAATTATGAGACAAAAAGTTGAAATTATGACTTAAAAATTCAAAATGATGACTTAAAAAGTCGAAATTGACTTAATGACTTTATAAACACATTGGTCACAGGATAGTGGTCTATAATGATAAACGGGAGCCCAGAATATGAACGCAACACACTGAGTTGCACGTTAAGCATTTTATATCTCAAAACGTTACGACTTTTTATCTCGTAATTATGACTTAAGTAATGATTTCGTCATTTTATCTCATAATTTCGACTTTTTAAATATCATAATTTCGATTTATAATTTCGACTTTTTATTTCATAATTATGACTTTTAAAGTCATAATTTCAATTTAGTAAGTCATAATTTTGACTTTTTATCTCGTAATTATGACTTAAGTATGTCATCATTTTGACTTTTTAAGGAATTGCTTCAGAAAGACAAAGAGAGGAAAAAAGGGGAAAAGAAACTAGAGCAATAAGAAACTGAAGAAAAAAGTGAGCAATTCCAATACATTTTACTTTACATTTTATTGTGCTAATATATTACAACATATTTATGGAAGCCCATTTCGGCCACGTAAGAAAAAAAATTCATGCCTTAAAGTGTCAAAATTATGACATACTTAAGTCATAATTATGAGACAAAAAGTTGAAATCATGACAAGTCATAATTATGACTTCAAAAGTCGAAATTGACTTAATGACTTTATAAACACATTGGTCACAGGATAGTGGTCTATAATGATAAACGGGAGCCCAGAATATGAACGCAACACACTGAGTTGCACGTTAAGCATTTTATATCTCAAAACGTTACGACTTTTTATCTCGTAATTATGACTTAAGTAATGATTTCGTCATTTTATCTCATAATTTCGACTTTTTAAATATCATAATTTCGATTTATAATTTCGACTTTTTATCTCATAATTATGACTTAAGTATGTCATCATTTTGACTTTTTAAGGAATTCATTTTTTTCTTACGTGGCGGAAATGGGTTTCCATACATATTGTATGATACATAAGGAATTGCCACTTTACTTATATATTTACTTATATATCGTGATGACATTTTATATTAAACAATGCACTTGATAATATACAGATGTACATGAATAATAAATAAATATTGAGAAATTACTTGAGTATTTTAATAAAGCTGTTAAATGTAAAAGTGTAGTGCAGTTTTTGTCTTCATTGCTATATATTTTTCATATTTATCAGCATGGTCCATGCATATATTGCAGTATATTGAAAAAAATATAAGCACTGGTTTCCCAAATATGCAAATCATTATTTGAATACTGTGTATATATTATATATGTATTATTTTATATTTTTATGTATTACAACCAGTCAAATTTGAATTTCTACAAAAATGTTGATTGTTTTCAAACAGGTTTCCTAAATACTCTCCCTGTCTGCCATTGGTCGACAAATAAGTTAATTCTGCTTTAAACTCACACCATTGGTTAAGCTGTTGAAGATTCTTCAACAAACAAAGCAATGTTTTGAATGCAACACATAATCACAAAGTGAATACTTTCCAGAGAAATGAACCTACGAATGACTTACTTATAGCTGTCTCTGCTTATTAAACTAAGACAGGAAAGAATATTTTAACATCAGGAAAAAATAAATAAATCACACACTTCACCTTTAAAAGCAAACAGTACAAACAGGAGATTACGGGAAAGCCCCAGTTCCTCATGGGAACTCCCTGGCTGAGAAACTCCACTTTCTGGCTTTCAGAAAACAAGCCATTCTAAAAGTGTATCACACTTCCTTATAAGGAGACAGGCCAGACTTGACTGTGGGCATCTCATCTGAAAAATCATGACCACAGAAGCAAAAACAATGATGAATTATATCATTTTTGGTAAGAAAATATTTTTACAGTTGAAACCACACAGACATTTGAATTGACATTTGAGGACTTCTGAAGTTGCCAAATGATTATATTAGTCACTAGTGTGACTGTGCAGTTTTATAAGGGTCAAGCCAATTTAAAGTCTGCTGCAACCACTGTGAGAAAGTGTCCAAACTGGAATCCATACGACTCCAGAGGAAAACGTGTCCTCAAGCCAGCTGAGTCTGCAAAACATATCCTCTGCTTGCTTTTTTGAATTTTTCTCTATTTCTACTCTCTGTTTTATTGGATGTTGCATGTTGTTTAAGTGTCTGAATATATCCCACTCAATAGACTAATAAAATAATGCAGTTCTCATTATATCACATCCTATGATCTAAAATGTGAAGTTGAAAAAAAAAAAAAACATTTCATGAATGTATCTTGCTGGCAAGAACCCAAATGTAACTACGTTTTCATAATTCTGTCATGGGAAAGTCTGGTATGTTAAAACTTGTTAATTTTGCCCAGAGTCCATCTGTGAAGTATGGACCTCAGCTTAATTTTCAGAGCTAATTACATTTACAAAGAGTGTGTGTTTTATTACACCAGAGCCTGTGTGTGTGTGTGTGTTGGAAGGGACAGTTCTTGCCTTGCCCTTGGCCTGCATAGAAGGAAGTGGCAGAAATCTAATCTGCCTAAACCTAGTCCAAAACTCACTGAAGCTTCTCGTGCTAATTGCGTTGAATTAAACGAGCGTCAAACATGTCTGCCTGTTTCCTAAAGCTGTGACAGTTGTGTTCATCCTAGCATGGGCTTATTATGGTGTTTGGTGGCTGTTTCAACAGAGTGTTTATTTCAGTGTTTTTCAATTTGTCATTTGCGTTTCTTCGTTTTCTGGTCTGCACAAATAAAGCATCGTGCATTAATATCTTTCTCTATTCTGTCTATTTTCTTGTCTCTTTCACCCTTGTCTTGCATATCAGTGGACAACAAAAATTCACAAATTGGTCAATCATTAAAACCACAACTGCTCTTGTGTGTCTAAGGCTCAAACGCCATCTGGTGCAGGTTAGCCAGGAGGAACTAAGACGTTGAGCAGACAGATGCGCGATACATTTCATGAATGTATCTTGCTGGCAAGAACCCAAATGTAACTACGTTTTCATAATTCTGTCATGGGAAAGTCTGGTATGTTAAAACTTGTTAATTTTGCCCAGAGTCCATCTGTGAAGTATGGACCTCAGCTTAATTTTCAGAGCTAATTACATTTACAAAGAGTGTGTGTTTTATTACACCAGAGCCTGTGTGTGTGTGTGTGTTGGAAGGGACAGTTCTTGCCTTGCCCTTGGCCTGCATAGAAGGAAGTGGCAGAAATCTAATCTGCCTAAACCTA